CAATTTTGCACCTCTTATTTTGTTATCATGGATATAGACACACTCATTAGTCAACAAATTATTTCTATGTTTATCAATAACTCTTTGATCATGCTGTAGAAAACTGTCAAATTTTTTTTTTCTTTATCATTGTTATAGCCAAGCTCTTCAATCAGCAAATGATTTCTGCATTTATCAAGAGCACTTTCATCAGAATGCAGAAAACCTTCAAATTTGCTCATCTTGTTTTGTTATCATGGTTATAGCCAAACTCATCAATCAACAACTCTTTTATGAGTCTTCATAGTTTTAGCCAAACTGATCCATTAACAAATGATTTCTACGTTTATCAAGAGCTCTTTCATCACTCTGCAAAAAACCGTCAATTTTGCTCATTTTTTTTTTCATTGTTATAGCCAAACTCCTCTATAAACAAATAATTTTTACGTTTATTAAGAGCTTTTTTATGAGGATGCAAAAAATTTAATTTTTCTTTTTTTACGTTATCATAGTTATAGCCAAACTCATCAATCATTCAATGATTTCTACGTTTATCAAGAGGTCTTCATCGTATTGTAGAAAACCGTCAAGTTTGCTCTTTTTTTTTGTTTTAATGGTTATAGTCAAACTCATCAATCAGCAAATGACTTCTACGCTTATCAAAATCTCTTTCATCAGGGTCCATAAAACCAGAGATTTTTCTCCTTTTTTGTTTGTTATCATTGTTTTAGCCAAACTAATCAATCAGCTAATGATTTATACGTTTATCAAGAGCTCTTACGTCATATTGCAGAAAACCTTCAATTCTGCTACCTCTTTGTTATCATGGTTATAGCCAAACCCCGTAATGAGCAAATGATTTATACTTTTATCAAGAGTTTTTTTATGAGGCTGGTAAAAACTTTTTATTTTGCTCATTTTTTCTGTTATCATGGTTATTACCAAACTCATCAATCAGCATGTGTTGATATGTTTATCAAGATCTCCTTAATCAGACTACAGAAAATCGTCAATTTTACACCTTTTGTTTTGTTATCATGATTATAGCTAAACTCATTAATCAACAAATGATTTATACGTTTATCAAGAGCTTTTTTATCAGGCTTCAGAAAACCGTCAATTTTTCTCATTTTTTTTGTTATTATTGTTTTAGTCAAACTTATCAATGAATAAATGATTTCTACGTTTATCAAGAGCTCTTTCATCATACTGCAAAAAAGTCATCGATTTTGCTCATTTTTTGTTATCATGGTTATAGCCAAACTCATCAATCAGCAAATGATTTCTACGTTTATCAAACTCTTTCATCTGGCTTTTTAGAAGTGAATCAAAATTATGTTGTTGAGAACAATATTTTTAGCTTACTTCTTTGTGAAACGTCACAATTATCTTTTTAATAAATATTTGGAAATTAACTAATAAAAATATTCACCGAGGAGTTAGTGATTTTATCTAGATCTAAACCTAAACAATTTTATCTTTTTCCATAAATTTCAAAATCAAGAATATTTATTTTATATTTAGGATATTTTAAAGTATTTACACACTAACTTACCATCTAATATTCTAATTAATATCTCGATTTTCACTTTTTTGACTACTCCTTCAAGATTTATTTTTCTAGTTTTAGTTCATATAACACAAATATATTTTTAATTTTAAAAATTTATAGAGAGATTGATATAACCATCCATGATTTATTTATTTAAATATTCAAACCTTGACAATAACTGAATACATCCATGATTCTATTTTATTTTATTTTAAAAATAATGTTAGTTTACGTAAGGATCAGTCAAAACCAAAAGTGATTGAACTTTGAGTTTTGGTGTTATAAATTTATAATAATACGGTAACAATTGTGGCACAAGAAAAGTCTCTTAATTTTTTTTTGCAAGAACATAAGACGCTTCAACTTTGTCTTACAAAGTACGCATCGGAGTATAAATATAGAGTACAAAAAAAATCTCCCCTTATGCGGGATCATATATTCACAATTTACGTATCAGAGTATAAAATATAGCTCACTTAACCACATTGTTTACCTTTATCTACGGAAATTTAGAGAAAATATACTTAATTTTTGTCAAAGATATAGATCCAAATTAAGGTATGCTTTATTATAATTTATGCTTATGGTAATTTAAGTAGACGATAACGCTAAATATACTTGCTGCTTTAAATACAGTACTTTGTATTTATGTGTAGATCCATATTTTAAACTTATATACCTTTTTAATTTAAAATGAGGAAAGAAAGTTTTCCAAATAAAAACTCAAAAATGCCACTTTTAATCTATCTAATATATTGGAATATCTTATGATAATTTAATTAGGCAATAACATTAAATATACTCAATGATATGCTAAGTGTATCCGTATAAGAGAATTTAGAGTTCCTATTAACGAAATATATATACATCATCTATATATACATTTTTGGAGACATTTTTGAAATAAATCATGGAGTTGACACTTATTTACAATGTAATGCCACTGATATTAATTCTTAAGATTTATTTCTTTAATTAGATATATGTAAATCAAATTTGTTTGCCAAAAATCTGGAGACAATCTTTCCTAATATCTCGATAATGATCATTTATACTCTATTTAAATTAAGATTTTCAATTCAAAATCACTTCCCATATATTATAATTTATATATTCAATATCTATAAATTTATATATTCAATATCTATAAATTTTTTTTATGATATTATGAACATTTGGACATATCAACATTTTAAACTAACACATGATGGGTTATATTACGGGACGAAATTATATGGTGGGGCAGAGTTATTTGGCGGGACGGGTTTGAATCAAAGTTAATAAAATTTTAAAATATCATTAACCCGTTCCTTCAATATGGGTTAAATCCTCACTTTATTATTTTGAAAGACCTGTAATATTAGACATATCGAATCAGTCTAATTTAGTTAAGATTGTATAAAACAAAAAATGTTCCATAGTATATTGTTACTTAATGATAATTATAAACTATAAATTATAAATGTCTTACAAATAATACAATTTGCAAATTTTTATATATAATACATAATTTAGAATTTTTAAAAATTATAAATTTTAGAAAAAAATCACCCCGCGGGTCAATTCCTAGTAATTTAAAGAATGTAAAAATGAAGGAAAAGTAATATTTAATTGATATGGCTCAAAAGGGGAATAAGCTAAGGATTTTCTTACAAATTTAAGCTCCTATTTATTTAGTTACAATGAAAACATGATATATCAACCAGACTTCTATATATAAATTCTTATATTGTAAAAGGATACATAGTACAAATCGTTAACCAATTAGATGGGTGTGTGATATTGCTTAAGTCAAGTACAAAGAATCAAGAAGCAGATCTTTAGGAAATAAATATGAATGGTTTGGTTGAACCTAAATATTTATAACTTATTACATAGATTGAACTGTAACAATTATGTTTTTTTCTCAAAAATTGGCAATTCTCCAAATAAAGATATTCAATGAATATTTTAGACTTTATCTACAACTTTTACAAATTTAAAAAGAAAAAATTCATATATAAACTAAAACTAAACAATCTTATCATGTTTAAAATAAAATTCATAGTCAAGAATATTTATCTTTTATTAAAGATATTATAAAGTTTTTACATGCCAATCAAAGTGATAGATTTTTTGTGTTTTCATATTATAAATTTATAATAATACAGTAACTATCTAGATATTTTATTCTTTTTAAAAAATAATAAACCTATCATATATTTTTTTTTCTAAAAGAAATTTGAAAAAGTTTTAGATATTTCCAAATTTTATGATAGAGACAAATGACAAACTATTATCGTTTTCAAAAATAAATAATCTTAAATATGTATATATGTAACACTAAAACATTTCTTTTCCCGAAACAATAACCCAAAAATAATAATAATTTCCAATTTTTTTTCCTTTTAAATTCTAAATGATATTTTTATAATGTAAATAATTCAGAATAACCTTAAATGGTTCTAATTTTTAATAAATATTAACATTTATATTTGGCACTATCACAATCCTTATAAAAATTAATATAGCTTATAATGTTTTAATTTTTACTACTTAAACATGATTTTATGATTTTGCTATTTTTATTTCCTATATTATAGAACTAAGTTGAGAAAAATATTATTTAACCCATCTGAATTTCTATTACACACAATTTATATTTTTAATTTTTATTAACAATAGAAACATACATTTGATAAATAAATAATTTAAACATTAAAAACTCTGTTCAATAATCCGAGAAATAATATGCCACTGAGTTTCTTATCATCTCCACAAAAGAAAATTATAGAACACAAAAAAAGTGAAACTTATAATAAAGGAAGGTTAAGTCATCATGATTAAAATATATATATTAACAAAAAGTTGGTTTAATTCCTCAATAAACTATTGATTCCATTATCATTAATAATTAATATGATCAATAATAACATTATATATATTATATATAAACATATTTATTTACAAACTAAATATCACAAAAAGTTATACGGACTCCGTTTTATAATGGACAATAAACTATTTATTAAAATATCGCACAACTCTTAAAAAAAAAGTAAAACAATGCACACAACTAAAAGAGTTGCTTTACTCCATACCAAAAAAAGAGATGCCTTACTTGAATACCAACCAAAGTTCATATTCGTACACGTATTAGCGAAGATGTCTTCTCCAAATAAGTCTTTGTATGTGTATAACGGTGTCTAGTTCATACGTAGCTCAAGAGAAGCACAAGAGTCTCTACTAAAACAATCACGATCGTTCGATTGGCCATACTTCCAGATAGCACCGCTATCACCATTGAGGTGATCTTCACCGTGCATAGGGAAGAGAGGAAGCCTACGTCGATGTTCCAATAAGCGCACGAGAGAAAACACCGCTGTGCAG